TCAGTAAAAACAAAACAAAACAGTTCCCCTAATAAATTGTGAAGGGAGTAAACCTTTCTAGTAAAGACAGGTTCTCAGATTGAGTAGGTCATGGTATATCTGTACAAAACAGTGCTACCTGTTAACAGTCATTCCTGTAACAGTGCAGTTAGCAAACTGTTACTGCTTCACCTTGGGATAAGGACATAAGCAGGGAAGAGTACTTGGGAACGTTTAGAGTGTTGTGACATTGTTATAACTTCTAAGTGTGTGATTGCTGTTCTAGTAATTCATTTTATTGCATTTTACATAACTGTTAGTAATGGTTCAGAAATTAAAACAGGTTTGAGAAGCACTAGTAGAGAATACAATGCAGGTATCAAAAAAATGAAGTAGATCCATATGTATAGATACATTAAATGAAAAAAAATCACAGAGCAGTATACAGGTACCATGTTAAGTTTTTTAAGATCCCAGTCATGTATGTAATGGATTTTTAAAATGTGGATCAATTCACATCCAACTGTTAACTGTGGTTATAAACAGAAGTTATGATTGTTGGGCCTGGAGTTGATGGACGTGGTAATAAAGTAATATTTTCTTGTTTGAATCTACATACTTTTGTATTGTTTGACATTTTTTTGTTTGACATTTTTTTACAGCAGTATGTTTTCATTTATTGTGTAATGCTTTTTAAATATTTTATTACTTAAATTAATGATCTTGTGGTCCTTTCAATACTTGGCAATTGAATATCCATATGGAAAACAAGATCTTTAACCTCTACCTCACACGATGCACAAAAATTAATTTGAAATGGATTATAAACCAAAATGTGAAAGTCAAAACAATAAAGTTACTAGAAGAATACATAGAATAATGTCTTCACAACTCTGGAGTAGGCAAAAATTTCTTAAGTGAGACACAAAAAGCATCAGCCATAAGGACAAGATTTGTAAATTGGGCCTCATTAGTATTAGTTGTTAGGTTCATAATAAGACACCAGTAAGGGAGAGAAAATTCAAGTAACAGATTGAGAGATGATATTTGGCATATTATATCTTTGAAACCTATAATTTTCTGTGTCTGTGTGCAAAAAGTTTGGAAAGACACTTAACAAAAAAAGACATTGATGGCTATTTTGCATGTGAAAAGGCTCTCAATCAACATTGATAATCAAAAGAGAAATGCAAACTCACACTACTATACCTGGACTAGAATGGCTAAAATTAAAAGACCCACTAAGAGCTAATGTTGGCTAGGCATAGATAAATCAATTAGAATGCTTATATGTTGCTGGTAGAAGTGTCAGTTGGTATTTTTTTTTATTTTATTTTCACTTTATTGCTCAAGCACAGAACTTGAGGTAAGCCCAGACCTTCAGCAACGTGCAGAGAAGAGGCTGAGGGGGTTGGGGACACAACCTGGCTGAGAAGACAAACTGATCCAAAGGGAAATACTGGTGGGGGGACAGGAGGTGGTCGTCGGGACACCAGAAGACATCTTAGCCATACCATCTGAGGGGAGGATGGCAGCAGAGAACAGTTCACGGGCACAGCAGTGGTTCTTCCCATGCCCCTAGCACCGACATGGAGGCCACATGTTTAGGAATGGACCAGGAGGAGGAAAGGATGAAAATGGCTGCCTAGGAGGCTCCCTCTCCACCCTGGTTTCCCATCAGACCTCGAGTAGCATCCCTACCACTCACTCCCTTCTACCATTTAGAAAATGGACATAGCAAACAAAAGAAGCAAAATAAATTAACATTCTGATGAGTATGCGTGTGGATGGACATTCATTCACATGTAATGGGGGAAGAGGGAAGGGAAGAGGGGGTGACACCACCTGAAATGATCCCCCAGCCTACTCCTTTCCCCTTTCCCCCAAAGCCACCATCTAACCAGATAGAAAAATAAAGGTCTAATTCACTCAAAATTCTTCAGTTTTTACAAAACTAACAGGGTGGAGGAGGGGAGGGAGCTTCAAAAAACATGCTGCCTACTAAGGCTGGGCATGCATATAAATCCTGTGATGTAGCCACTTCCCTCCCTAGTATTCACTAGGAAGCTGGGTGCTTATGTTCAAAAAAAGATAGAAAAATATCCATACTAACTTTCTTCCTAATAGCTAAGAAATATCTCCATCAAGAGTATAAGTTGTGGTATATTCATGTAACTGACTGTTATACAGCAATACAGAGAAAATACTGCTACCTGTAACTACATGGATGAATCTCATTGACTCAAAACTGAGCAAAAGGAGCCAAAGACAAAAGAATATCTACAGTGTGATTTCAGTTACATGCTTTACGGTAAAAGAGGTCAAAATAATGGTTTCCTTGGTTGGGGGCTGGTGCAGTGGTAACTGGCCGAGGGGCAAATGATAATATTCGGGAATGCTGGGAATGTTCAACACTTTACTCTGGATGGTGGTCACATATCATTAAGCTCTACATATATACACTTACTGCACACTTTACTGTAAGTTATACATCAATAAAAAAAGTTTAAAAAAGGAATGCCTGGGTGGCTCAGTTAGTTAAATGTCTGAGTCTTGATTTTGGCTCAAGTCATGATCTCAAGGTTGTGGGATCAAGTCTTGCACCAGCTCTGCATTCAGCAGGGAGTCTGCTTGGGATTCTCTCTCCCTCCCTCTCTCAAATAAATAAATCTTTTAAAAAATGTTTAAAAAAGAAAACTCCAACTCATGCTTTACCTTGTGATGTGAAATTGTGTCACTATCCTATGCCAAAATTTTAACATTCAAGGGCTTTTCTTTTTAGGTCTCACATTCTTTTCCATTTGTCTTTTTTTGTAGGTGCATTGTTCTGGTTTAATCATTGTTACTTTATAATACATTTACTGTTTAATGATGTGTCTTTCCTGCTCATTCCTGTTTCAGAATTATCTTGGATATTTTCACTTCTTTATTATCACAGATAATTTTTAGAATCAAATAGTCATATTCTCACACACATTCATGCCATAGGAATTTTTATTATAATTACATGAAACTAATAAATTATAAATTTGGAGATCATTAATATGTGGGTCAAAGTTCAGAAACATGTTTCTCACCATTTCCTCCCAGTTCTTTAGTTGTCTTTATGTGACTGTACAGGTTGTTTATTTTTGTACATTTTTGTTTTGCTAAGGTGAATGGGAACTTTTTTGGTTACATTTTTATGTTCCTTCATATAGTATTACTATAACTTCTTAATCTCAGGAATGAGAATAGTTATTGTTTATTGACACATTGTGCTAAGCAATCTTATTTCTTACAACAATCTTTGTCAGGTAAATGCTATTACAATATTATGCTCATTTTTACATTTGGGGTCAGTGAGGGACAAAGACTGAACAGCTGCTTTCTGGCAAAGGTATGATTCTAACCCAGGCACTCTCACCCAGAGCTACACTGTCAACAAATACTACACTGTAGGCCTAGGTGTCCTCAGTGAAGGAGGAGGGACAGGTAGGAAGGCTAAGTGTGGGATCAAATCTAGTACTGATGGATGTGACTGACAGTGGTGAGTAGTAATTGGATATATAGCAGCAAGACCTATCCTGAAGTCAGTTGTTGGGTATACATTCATTTATATTTGTAGACTACAGTATTCTAGTTTGGACTTATTCAAACCAGATAGGCTTATAATTTTTTAAAATCATTAGCAAACAATTTAATGATAATTTTATATATTCCTAGGGTACCATTGTGTTTACCAAATAATGTTAGCTATTGAATTAGTTGTGTTCTCTGTTTACAAGGAACTACCACTAATTCCCTCTAGTTGAAATAAAGATACACTTGTCCATAAGGGAGGTGGACTCTTGTGGATATCCAAGAGGTGGATCCATAGATTGGCCAGCCCTTGTGGAGACTAAAGCTGTCATCTGTTCTGGATTAAAATCAACTGTAGGCATCTCAGCAACAAAATTTTTAGCTCTTTACTGCAGTGTACTGTTTTTGTCTTCCTTCAACTGTCGCTGTCATAATAAATGCTTTTTTCTTTTGTCCATCCATTTGTGTTTATATTGTTTATATTTTCTCCATGGTCCTGTAAAATTTCTGACAACATTTGATTGGCCATGGTAGTTATTGTGTTTGGGCCAAGTGTTTCATGGTTCATAGACTGTTGAACGGACTGTAGATTGGCTGCCTTAAATCAACTTTACCACAGTAGTTCTAGTCATTTCTGGCCGGGGAGGAATGGCTGGTTAGGTAAACATGGCTCATCTAAGGCTACTACCTCTTTAGTAGTAAGGTTGATTTGCCCTAAATATAAAGGGAATGTGATCACAGTATGTATTCTGGCTAATGTGTTCAGTATGCATTATACTTTTCCCTTTTAAATAAAATCTAGGGTGCTTGGGTGACTCAGTTGCTTAAGCATCTGCCTTTGGCTCAGTTCATGATCCTGGGTTCCTGGGATCAAGTCTCACGTCGGGCTCCCTGCTGAGCCTGCTTCGCCTTCTATCTCTGCCCTTCTCCTCTGCTCATATGCATGCTCCCTCTCCCTCTTAAATAAATAAAAAAATCTAAAGAAGTGGCTACAATTGAAAATAGCAGCTGAATTTAGAGGTTGAGTAATACAGAAGGGGAAATATTGAAGGGAATGCTTGTATACATGATTTGAGAACAAGGATCTTACTGTTTTGTAAGCCTGATAACATTGTGTATCTTTTGTGAATAGCTTGCTTGAAATGTCTGGTTGGGATTATTAAAACTTTAGAGGAGTTACTGATAAATATTAGGGAAATTTTTTTCCTTGCTATTTTAATAGCTAGGTTTGACTTGAAAAAAGGTTTTTGAGGATTTTGCAAACCCATGAATTTAGCAAATTCCTTTAAAATATTCTCTGGTCTATGCATTTTTAACACAAGATCAGTGATGAACTTAAGGTATGTCATAAGCTGCCTATTAAGATAGTAAATGATTTATGATAAAAATTGAAATATTCAATATTTATTTTTATCAGCAATAAAATTATATGTAAATGCTTGTTGTTAAATTGATTCTAGGTTGGGCCATGCAGGCTGCTGCCTATATCTTCATTCATAGGAAATGGAAGGATGACAAGAGCCATTTTGAAGACATGATTGATTATTTTTGTGATATCCATGAACCACTCCAACTCCTCATATTCCCTGAAGGGACTGATCTCACAGGTAGGTAGCCTGGGATTGGATCACAGAATTTTAAAACATGAAGAAACTTAGAAATCACTTAGTCTAAACTTCTATTCTTCAGATGAAATAATTGAACACCAGTAAGATTAATGGCCCACCACTAAGGTCATTCACTCAGTGATCAGTAGCATATCAAAACCTAGAACCCCTGGTTTCCAGGCCATAGAATTTATGATGGACAACTCCAAGAGGTCATTATTCATACTTGCCCTCCTCATGCTTTGTATTTTTAAGTTGCACTATATATTTTAGATATCAGCCTTTTACTTTTATAGAATTTTTTATTATTTTTATGGAACCACAACAAAACAAAACAAAACAGCCAGTGAAATCTTAAGAAGGACAAAACCTAATTTTAAAGTCCCCTTCCTGTTCTATATATTCTGTCCTCTTTCAAGAGACATATTCATTACGCCTTTTTTCTCAATTTTTTTTAATAAGAAAAGGATATAATAGTAACCGATTTCATCTTTTGTTTTAAATTAATATGTTGGCTTTCTCTGGGTATTTTAAAGCTTTATCTCTAATTAAGCAGGAAAGACTTTGTCCTGTCCTCAAGAAAATTCAACCACCACTGAGTTGTGGAGGGGAACACAGGAGGACATATTTTGGACTTTTCTGCCTTCCCAGAAATTAAACTACATGCATAGGCCAAGAATGCCAGTGAATCTCAAGGAATTCTTTAAAAGATTAAAAACAAATACAGTCTTTTATCCTTACTGTGTGAGAAAGTGTGAGAAATCAGTGGTTCTCACACTTTTTTAAAGCATAGGTCATTTTTGCAGATGAAGCTGCCTGTTGCAGTCTGGGATTTAAGACAGATTGAAGAAGTGTTGTGATTGAATATTGGCAGGGTGGGGTAAGCTTGGACAGGAAGGAGTTCTGTGGAATCCAACTCAAAAGAGCAAAATTTTAAAACTGTTAATTCCCTGGTTACTTCAAGAAACATACAGCAGAATTTGAGAAGGATCTGGTGGATAAAGGTCAATGCTGTACAAGAGAAGACAGCCTGAAGCAGAGTAGAGCTGAATTTTAAAAATCACAAATAGTATGGAGGGCTAACACTGAACTTGTCTTCCAAATCCTCAATACGAGATTAAGGCAACTAAGGTACTGAGAAGGGCTGCAGAGGGGGAAAACATGCTAATTTATGGAACTCAGTACCTACAAAGAGTTCAAGATGAAAAACACAAACTATACAACTATTTAAGTGAATGGGTGAATCAGCCATACTGTGCTACTGAGGGAAATTCAGGTATTTTGAGAAACATTTACCAATGATACCAAGAAAGAGCTCTTCTCTGTTACTGATTGAACAGAACTAAATGAATCATGGCAATTTTTATTTGATAGTTTTATGTACTAAAATAATGCTTACTATATAGGTTTGATTTTTATAGTTAAGATTCTAAAAGTAGTTGGATCACAGAGGATAATATTGAGGATAATATGGTTATATATTGTTTAAGCTTGAAAATATATTATAAGTTATAAATTAATTGATTCCCAGAGCTAAACTACCATTAGGAAGTTATAATGGATAGATACCTGTATTTAAATCTTATAATACTTTAGAATGTATAGTACTTAAATTTGGGTGTTGAAATATAACTATATAATAGAAAATAATTTACTGAGATGATAGATGGATTGATATTTGTGAATGCCAAAGCAGACACTAAAGAATGGTAGCTTTGGAAGTTTTTAGTAATTAAAAACTAATAGGAAAAAAAGCTCTGGGATTGCTGCTACTTTATGGTATATTAATGCTAAAATGTTTATATATTAGGTCTTTAGAGCCTGTAAAATATATAAACTTATTAAAACCTTTTTCATTCTTATTTTTTTCTTAAGTGTTTTTTTTTTACATGATGAACTTAACACCTAATGGCATATTTTCAGGGTTCAGAGTACTCACCATTACATGATACAATCGCATATTTTTAAAGTTAAAATGGTATTTATATTTTAAAACCAACTTTTAAAAGCTAGACTGTTTGCCAAATACAGAAAATAGATCCGGAAGCTTTCAAGAAAAAAAAAATTTTTTTGAAACAGTATTATACAGGTAGTTTTGATCTAGAATAAATCATGGTCTTCAACTAAGTGTCTGTTACTTCAAGGGTACTTTTAGTTACCATAGTTAACTTGAAACTTGAGAATTTTAAGCCCAAGGAGAATGTTTTAGAACCCTCTTTTAAGTTCTGAGTCTAACTTGCTTGCACATTTTCAAATTAGTGTGTTTAATATAACTACATAAATTTTATCTTCATATGTTATTGTGGGTTATAACTTTTTTCTTGCCTATGGAAGTTATATAAGTGAACTGGGGGAAATTCAGAAACAGAGAGAGGACAAAAATTGCGATAATCCCATTGCCTATAAACACTATTGTAATTTTGGTCCATTGCTTTTGGATCATTTGGTCACATATCTGTGCATGTGCATACACACATGTGCATACACACACATACATATAATTTTAAACAATTTTAAAATTGTAATGGCATTACACCTTTCTTTGCACCTAATGTTATATTATCTCTCCTATCATTATTTATCCCTTGAAAACATGTGTTTTAAAGGTTGGGCAGTTTTATATCATACTGGTTTATTCGGTAGGGTTGTCTAGGGAAACAACCAATAGGATGAGTGTGTATATTTGTGTGTATGGTGGAAGGGGAGAGGTTGAGATTGAGAGAAATTGAGCTGGGAGTTGGGGATTTATTTTAAGGAGTTGCCTCACATGATTGTGGAGGTTTGGCAAGTCAAAAATTTGCAGGGTGAGTTAGCAGGCTGGAGACTCAGGGAGGAGTTGTAGTTTGAGTCCAGAGGCAGTCAGTCTGCTGACAGAATTCTTTCTTGCTTAAGGAGGTTAGTCTTTTTTCTTTTAAAGCCTTCAAGTGATTGGCTATGGCTCACTCACATTATGGAGAGTAATCTGTTTATATGAAGTCTTCTGATTTAGTTATTAATCTCATTCACAAATACCTTCACAAAATATCTAGAATAATGTTTGACCAACTATCTGGGTACTCTGGCTATGCCAGTTTGATTCATAAAATTAATCATAACAATTGGTATACTGTAATTTTGAGTTCTTTTTTCCTGATCTGGAAAAAAAAGCTTTTCTAGGATTTAACAATTTTAATATTACACGTAATCACTGTTATACATAAATTTCATTTAATCAGTGCTCTGAAGCTTTATATACAAAACAAAGTCCCTACTTTCATGAAGCTTACATTCTTTGAAGAAAGATAGACTAAAAAACCAGTTAATAAAAATATGTCAGATATTCATAAATCCTATGCAGAGAAATAAAGCAAGATAAGGACAGGGAGAGGAATAGATAGGGCACAGAATTCTCTTTTATATAAGGTAGTTAAAAGCAGCCCCTTAAATTTCTGTGTAAATAGAGACTAACCAAACAAAGCAAAAAACCTTTTTTTTTTTTTTGAGATCAGCAACTTATTTATTTATTAAACTGTAGATCTCTTCCAAAAACCTTAAAACTCCCTGGGTTTATAGTATGTCTGAATCCTAAATTTAAGAAAATGATCTGCGTAATAGCTATTGCTATCTTCTTTTTTTTAAATAAATTATTTTTTTATTGGTGTTCAATTTACCAACATACAGAATAACACCCAGTGCTCACCCGTCAAGTGCCCCCCTCAGTGCCCGTCACCCATTCACGCCCACCCCCCGCCCTCCTCCCCTTCCACCACCCCTAGTTCGTTTCCCAGAGTTAGGAGTCTTTATGTTCTGTGTCCCTTTCTGATATTTCCCACACATTTCTTCTCCCTTCCCTTATATTCCCTTTCACTATTATTTATATTCCCCAAATGAATGAGAACATACAATGTTTGTCCTTCTCCAACTGACTTACTTCACTCAGCATAATACCTCCAGTTCCATCCACGTTGAAGCAAATGGTGGGTATTTGTCATTTCTAATGGCTGAGTAATATTCCATTGTATACATAAACCACATCTTCTTTATCCATTCATCTTTCGATGGACACCGAGGCTCCTTCCACAGTTTGGCTATTGTGGACATGGCTGCTAGAAACATCGGGGTGCAGGTGTCCTGGTGTTTCATTGCATCTGAATCTTTGGGGTAAATCCCCAACAGTGCAATTGCTGGGTTGTAGGGCAGGTCTATTTTTAACTCTTTGAGGAACCTCCACACAGTTTCCAGAGTGGCTGCACCAGTTCACATTCCCACCAACAGCGCAGGAGGCTTCCCCTCTCTCCACATCCTCTCCAACATTTGTTGTTTCCTGTCTTGTTAATTTTCCCCATTCTCACTGGTGTGAGGTGGTATCTCATTGTGGTTTTGATTTGTATTTCCCTGATGGCAAGTGATGCAGAGCATTTTCTCATGTGCATGTTGGCCATGTCTATGTCTTCCTCTGTGAGATGTCTCTTCATGTCTTTTGCCCATTTCATGATTGGATTGTTTGTTTCTTTGGTGTTGAGTTTAATAAGTTCTTTATAGATCTTGGATACTAGCCCTTTATCTGATACGTCATTTGCAGATATCTTCTCCCATTCTGTAGGTTGTCTTTTAGTTTTGTTGACTGTATCCTTTGCTGTCCAGAAGTTTCTTATCTTGATGAAGTCCCAATAGTTCCTTTTTGCTTTTGTTTCTTTTGCCTTCGTGGATGTATCTCAAAGCAAAAAACCTTGCAGGTGCCTGGGTACTAGGCATTCTGGGCAGCAGAAAGAACACCTGCACAGACCCTGAAGTGCAAACCTGCTTGGCTGGTTTGAGAACATAGAATGGCCGCCAGTAGTCTCTTTGCTGGTGGGAGGAGTGTTGACCCTGGAGTATTACCAGCAGTGAGCTGACAAGACAGGAGGCTGTGGTCAGAAAGAGGGAGGCTATTGCAGTTACTAATAATCAGAGTCCGGAAGTGGGTAACTGAAATGGAAATAGAAGGAAAAATCTGCATCTCTTCATGTCTCTGATTACCT